GGTCTTCCTTATTCACTGTACAGCTTTCGCATGCGTATGAGGTGATTGAAAATACCACGGCTTGGGTCAGGTGCACCTTAGTCTTCAAGCTGACATCTTTGCTCTTCAACACTTTAAAAATGTCTTGTGCAGCAGATTTGCCTAAGGCAATATGTTGTTTGATTTCTTGACTGCCTTAAGGAAATCTCGCATCTATATTTGTACAATCAGCTAACATTTTACCTTGGTTTTGTTGGTGGTGGTGGTATTTGGTGGATGTGGTTAGAAACTGCTTGTATTTACTGACCTTTGGTGGATGAGGTAAAAGGCAAGCCTGGAGTCACCATGGCCCTGAGACCGGAAGAACTAAATGGGAGCTGGTTACCTCTACTACCAACTGTTCTGAATGGGAGCACATTAGAAGACTCTGGATAAGAGGAGGAGAAAATATAGAACCAAACTCAACATTATGAGAAAGACTGGCCTTACTAGTCAGAAAAAGACTGGAGGAATCTGAAACTATGACCCTCGGTCACCCTTAGATTTGGAACTGAACTCACCCTCATGGTCCAATGTTCAGCTAAGTGGTAGCTAGGTATACATGGAGGACAACATTAGTAAGGTAGGCTCACCATGGAATGGTCAACCATTCAAGATCAAAGGGGTAGCATTTATGTAAGCACAAAATTCAGATGGATTGGAAAGGAAGGTGGACTCGAAACAAGAATCACAGGGAGAAACTGGAATAACTCACGTTACATGGGGGGAACCGCCATCATTGAAAAGAAATCAAGTGTATGATGTGTTGAGTGTAAAACTGACAATCTGCTCTGCAAACCTCCACTCAACTCATAATAAAAAGTTTCAAAATTAAAAATAATAATAATAAAGATGGTATGGTAGGCAGGGAACCCAACTTTTTATTAACTTGTGCTCTGTAAATTCAGGGGGATTTTGTCCCTTACTAGTAGACATTCGCCCTCGGGGCTGAAGGCGGTGGTGGGGGAAAGTGAGTGTCCGCTAGGGACCCCGGGAAGCTGGGACCGGGGCGCACGGGCTCATCGGAGACCGGCGGCGGGGAAATCGAGGCTGGGCTGGATGTCCAAAGTCCTGGATCCTAGAGGGGGCGGGCTAGGGCCTGGTCCTACCTGGCCACCCAGCTTTCCAGGGCCATAATGGAAGACTTGGAAACAACTTTGAGAACCCAAAGGGCGGGCTCGGGATGCCTGGATTCCCTAGGTTTCAGAGGCGGGCGCTAGAACCCGAGTTGGTGAGCCAGGCAAAGTTGTGGGGACCTGAACACTTGGAAACCAAAGATGCGAATTGGAGTCAACTGGATGCACTGGTGGGTTAAGTGTTGGGCTGCTAACTGCAAGGTTGGCAGTTCAAATCCACCAGTGGCACCGCCAGAGAAAGATGAGGCTGTCTACTTCCGTAAAAGGTGATGCTGTGGGTTAATGCGTCAGACTGCAAAGCTGTTTGAACTGCAAGGTTGGCGGTTCAAGCTCACCAGTTGCTCCTAGTAAACCCTACACAGGGTCGCTTTGGGTTGGAACAGACTCGATGGCACTTAACAACAACAACAAGTAGACATTCTGATGTGGTGCTGTGGGCTAATGCGCCAGAGTACAAAGCCGTTGGAACTGCAAGGTCGGTGGTTCAAACTCACCAGTTGCTCCTTGGAAACCCTGTACAGGGTCCCTATGAGTCGGAACTGACTCCATGGCACATAACCACCACCACCAGTAGACATTCTCAGTTTATTTCCCCAGACCAGAGACTTAGAGAGGAACACAGGAGGACCCAGAGCCTGAGGTCTGAGAAGATACAAAAGTGCTGGCTGCTACAGACTCTTAAAATGGAGTTGTAAAGGGCAGATGTAGGTTTCTACAGATTGCTAGCTCTCAGTTCAAAGAACCTTCTGCTGGGAGCAGTGGTATAGGCCGAGGCAGGATTCTACACTCCCAAGATTGAGAATTGCTGGTAAATCATTAACTATCTTGAAACAGAAGAAAATAAAGCCTCGGAAGTACCTCTGTCTACTTAGTCTACCCTTGTTTCCTCTGAGAGAACAAAATCAAGACCATGACCAGCCCCAGAATTTGAGGGTTCCTTAATGTACAAAAAAAGGCGCCCCTTTGTGCGAGGAGTTAGGCACTGGGCTGCTAACTTCAAGGTCCGTAGTTCAAACTCATCAGCCACTCGGAGGGAGAAAGAGGAGGTTGTCTGCTTCCATAAAGATATACAGTCTCAGAACCTCTTAGAAACTCTGTTCTATAGGTCGCTAGGAGTTGGAATCATTCCATAGCAGCCGGTTTGGTTCTGGGTTAAGTACAAAGGGGAGGAGGGGATTGCAAAGTTCAACAGGACATTGGCGATAACACTGAAAACAGCAGCTGAAACTGCTTTGTTTAAAAGTCAAAGTCCTGTGAAGTACGCCAGTCTCCCTTCACTGCCTGTGCCCAACACTTGGAGCTCTACCTGACCTCAGAGCCTTTCTTATTCAGGACTGACAGCAGGAAAGGAAAAAGGGAACTGGTAACAGGAAGGACAATAAATACAAGCAGAGGGGCAGGCTCCCCAAAATACTGTGATGACGAGAAAGTTTCTTTTTCATACAGAGTCTAAAATCAATTCCATGCAAAAAGTGACCAAGGTATTTTGTACAATGACAGAACCTTTGGGGGCAAATGTATATACATTCAGTACAGCTGCTTTTAAGGGGCCCATATTTCTCTGGATATGACATGCTTGTTGTCTTAACATACATTGTTTCGTACCATCAAGTCCGTTCCAACCCTATATAGGGTTTCCGAGAAGCAGCTGGTGGGTTTGAACCATCGATCTTGCGGTTTGAAGTCTGGTGATTACCCTATAGCACAATACCAGGACTCTAACGTACATGCTGTTGTTGTTATTAAGTGCCATCGAGTCAGTTCCGACCCATAGCGACCCTGTACAGGATTTCTGAGGCTGTAAATCTTAATGGGAGCAGAAATCCTCATCTTTCTCCCACGGAGCAGCTGGTAGTTTCGAACTTCTGACCTTAAGGTTCATAAGCACTATGCTACCAGAGCACTAAGGAATACTTTGATACTAGGAAGAGTTACAGGAGAAAGGCAAGAGCAGAAAAAAACGAGGAGATACAGAGTCCTGGTGTGGTGCTGTGGATTAATGTGCTGGAATGCAAAGCCACTATGAACTGCAAGGTCGGCAGTTCAAGCTCACCAGCCACTCCTCAGAAACCTTATACAGGATCACTATGGGTCAGCATCAGCTCGACAGCATTTAACAACAACAACATGGACTCCTGGTGTGGCACTGTAGGATCAGCACTGGACTGTGAACCACAAGGTCAGCAGTTCAAACCTACTAGCTGCTCCTCGAAAACTGTATACAGGGTCGCTGTGAGTCAGAACTGACTCGATGGCACCTAACAACAACAATAATGGTGGCAGAGATGTGTAGCGAGGACAAAAGAAGAGCCAAAGAGAACAGTATCACAAAAGGAGCAATGACTGTCTGCCATAACTAGAGATGGAAGCAGTCCTGGTGTGGCACTACAGGATAAGCACTGGACTGTTAACTGCAAGGTCAAAGGTTCAAACCCACCAGCCACTCCGCAGGAGAAAGATGAGGCTGTTCCCATAAATATTTACAGCCTCAGAACCTTTATGAAGTAGTTCTACTTTGCCTTAAGTGATCACTAGGACTCATAGTAGACTGGATGGATGGCAGTGAAGGTTTGGGCTGGGGTTTTACTATACAACAACGGGAGCGGGATCGCAACCCAGAGATGGGGGGCATTGGAGAGAACATGCCCAAAGGAGTATCTTCACGAATACTTTGTTTAAACATCAAAGGTAATAAGCCAGTGCCCCTAAATTGAAGCTTTCCTGGGTAATTCCAACCGCCAGCCCAGTTTGGTCCAGAAATAAATGGGTAGAAATAGACACAAAATTCTCCCACTTGCGTTTAAACCTCATACCAAAAACCAAGCCCACCGTCACCGAGTCAATTCCATATGGTTTCCGAGGCTATAAATCTATACAGGAGCAGAAAGCCAGTGTGAACTGGCAACCTTACGGTTACCCTAAAGTGTCACCATAGCTCCAAATAAACCTAACAAGGGCTTTACCAACTCACACAGCAGAATTAGACTCTTTTATTAGGTGGCTGTAGGATAAGCACTGGACTGCTAGTCTCAAGGCTGGTGATTCAAACCCACCAGCTACTCCTTATATAAGGTTGCTACGAGCCAGAACTGACTCCACGGCACTTAACAGCAACTTTACATTAGACAGAAAAATTTGATTCATGTCAACTTTTCAAAGAACCACTTGTAAAAATGTGCTTTTCACTAAATTAGCAAATTGAAGAGCAAGACTTATTAATGCTTTGTGTGTTTGGGAGCTTACTCTTGAAAGTTGAACAACTGTTTTTAAAATTTTTTTTTTCCTCAAAGTACAGTTTATTTAAATATTATTTACTCAGTAGAATTCACCCTTTTTTAGGTGTACAGTTTGATGAGTTTTCACAAACATGCAACATCATATAAACACCACCAATTGTCTTTTGTTGTTGTTGTTGTTGTTGTATGTTTTGTTAAGTGCCGGTCTGACTAATAGCGACCCTGTTGGTTTGAACTCCAAGGTCAGCTGTTCAAGCTCACCCACCGCTCCTCAGAAATCCTAAACAGAGTTACTATGGGTTGGAACCAACTCTATGGCACTTAACAACAACAACAACATAGAGTTTCCAAGGAACAGCTAGTGAGCTTGAACCACTGACCTTGTGGTTCAAACTGACCTTGCTTGCAGTTGAGTGCTTATCTTACAGTGCTACACCAGGATACTTGTTGTTTTGTTGTTGTTGTTGTTGTTGTTGTTGTTAGGTGCCATCAAGTCGGTACCGACCCATAACGACCTTATGCACAGCAGAAAAAAACACTGCCCAGTCCTAGGCCAACCTCACTAATGTTGCCATGCTTGAGTCCATCGATGCTGCCACTTGGCCAATCCATCTCATTAGGGGTCTTCACCACCAATATCAAGAAATATATATGCATTTCCATCACCCTCTTAAGTTGCCTCATATCCCATTTAATTCCCTTTCATGATGCCCAGCTCCAGAAAAACCACTGATCAAATTCCTGTTCCCATAGTTTTGCTTTTTCCATACCGTGTCTAAGTGAAATCATACAGTATGTATCTCTGGCTGACTTCTTTCACTTAGCATAATGCTTCTGAGATTTCATTCATGTTGTTGCCTGTACTAATAGTTTGTCCCTTTCATTACTGAGTAGCATTCATTGTAAGGTTGTATTACAATGTGTTTATCCATTTACTAGCTAATGGGCATTTGGGTTGTCTCCAGTTTCTGGCAATTATGAATGAAACTGCTAAAGACATTCATATACAGATCTTTGTGTGGAAATACGTTTTCATTTCTCAGGTAAATATCCAAAAGTGGTATGGCTGAGTTGTATAGTAAAATTTTGCTGAAGATAATTCAAAAATGGTTGCAGCAGTACATCAACAGAAAGATGCTAGAAATTCAAGTCAGACTCAGAAGACGACACGAGAGAAGGAATATCATTGCTGATGTCAAACAGATCTTGGCGGAAAGAAGAGAATACCAGAAAGATGGTCCTTTGTGTTTTATTGATTGTGCAAAGGCATCCAACTGTGTGGACCATAACAAACTATGGATAACATTGTGAAGAATAGGAATTCCAGAACACTTCATTGTGCTCATGAGGAATCTGTATATAGACAGAGACACAGTACTTCGAACAGAACAAGGTGACACTGAATGGTTCAAAATCAGGAATGGTGTGCATCTGAGTTGTATATTTTCATCATACTTATTTAATCTGTATGCTGAGCAAATAATCAGAGATGCTAGACTCTATGAAGAAAGAATGAGGCTTATTTACAAATTGCAATATGCAGATGACACAACCTTGCATGCTGAAAGTGACAAGGACTTGAAGAACTTATTGATGAAGACGAAAAAATACAGCCTTTAGTACAGATTACAACTCAAGACCAAGAGGAAGGTAAAGAAAACAATGATCCTCACAACTGACCAGTAAACAAGATCATGATAAAAAGAGAAAAGATTGACATTATCAAGAATTTCATTTTACTTGGATCCACAACCCATGTTCATGG